AACGATAATTACAATATTATTGCGCGAAAGAGTGGGAAGCGGAGCGGCATTGTTTCTGCCCAGATCCGTGAGATAATATTTCATATTATCTCGCGTAATTATTTCGCATAATTATGAATACGGGTAACACGTAACAATAACATATTACTGGGAATAATAAATCGTATAGCGATATCGTATGAAAAATAGGTAAAGAGAAAGGAATAGGCGAAATAAAAGAATATTATTATTAACGACGTCTCCACTTCCGTTTTTTGTCAAACGTTTTTTCCCTCCTTCGCGACAATAATGAAATTGAACGATAAAATTCAAAAGGCCGAAGGCATTTTAGCATGTCGTGTAATTGATTAAAAATTGCGAAGAAATCACTCGAGGCGACTAATTTAATGCTTCCTTAATCACCCTTAATCTCCGGGCGCAGAAAGGTAGTCTAATACGACCGAATGGAAGAAGGATGAAAAATGTCTGCGTTAAGAATTCCCATCCGTCCCCTGTTTCGGATAGCTTCGTGGTCCCAATTAAGGAGCACGGCCTCGTTAGCTCGAAACGAGCCGCGACTTAATTTTAATCTCAAACAACGGTCAAACGTCGACGGTGGTCGTCCTTCTTGCCCGACTATGACGCTTCATCCCTTATTCTAATTTCGTTTCGCGGCACGCGATAAAACTTTCCCAATCGCGAAATTCCCGACTTCTGATGAAACGTTTAAACATTTATCACGCGATCTTGTTGACAGGGGCAACAAGCCTCGTGATCTCGTACGAGAAAGTCACGTCTTCCGGAACGAATTGAAAAAGAAAAAAAAAAAGGAAGAAAGTAAATTTAATATCGAACACCTTTCTTTTTTTTCTTAAAGAAAAATCCTTCTTCAAAATCTTAGAGAATCAAAATTATCATTGATATTCGGAAATCGATCTTTTTTACTTGCTCGTCTGTAAAAAATAACTATGTTCTAATCGAAAATCGATGCTGACAAACTAACATCTTCTTCTACATCACTCAGCTTCGCTACATTAAAACGGTGTAAAATTATCCTTATATTATTATTTCGCCCTATTCCAAATCAACCATTCCAAACGAATAATTAATGATTCGTATTTGGAGATAATAAATTCAAGAATACGACTCTCCCGATAACTATTAACGCTATAATACCGACATCTTACTCGGTAGAATTGCCATTTTGCCTAGCGTGACTCGCGGGAGGTCGCGTCGCGTTGGTGAGCTGGTAGTTTCGCCGATGGTGGCGGCATTAAACTATTTCTCCTCTCGCAGGAGGATTTGCATCTCCATACACCGGAATCCTTGTGCAGCGATATGGTAGACAGTAATCTGAATGCATCGGCAAGGCGTGATGCGCGCGGCAGGGTCGTAACGCGTCGAGAGAGAGAGAGAGAGAGAGAGGAGGGAGAGGGAGAGAGGTGTGCGTTGGCCGTGAGGAGGCGCAGGCGTCGTGGCCAGGTACGCTCGTCAGTCGTCGGCCGAACTTGAAACGTGCGGCTTCGCGTTCCATTTTTACACCCGTGTCCAATTACGATCGTCCTTGCCGCGCCAAAACAACGACGCACTTAACCAAAACCTTCGTTTTCTCTCGCGATTTCATGCACGCGACTACTCGCATCGATCGATCGCACGGCCGCTCACTCAACTGGATCTCGAATTGTCCGGAAATTTTTGTAACCGGATTCTTTTAATCGGATCGTTTTCTCGCTCGTACTCGCCGCCAGTTGTTCGATCGGTTCTCGTCGCGGCCAACCTAAAGTGTTCCCAAAGTATGTCTACATTACAAAGCCACCTACACCTGCAACTCGCGTAAACTGTAACAACTGTGATTACTGTATAGCTGCTGTGGAACGTGGGACAACACGCTTGGAAATCGTTTATCGGCATTATTCTTTTTTTTTTATTTTTGCTCTTCCCTTTTTCTTTTTGTTTTTTTTTTTTTTTTTCGTTTCTTCTCTCGATCCCTTCGAGAAATTTCGAAGCGAAGGCGAATGAATAAATAAATAAACACAAGATTTCTAGACTATTGGATTTCATCCTGGTTTTGTACTATATCTATACATTTCCTTTTTTTTTTTTAGGTCCATTTTAAACTCGATCGAGAACAATGTCTGTAGGTCGGAAGAATTTCATTTCCATCGCAATTTCATTGCTTTCACGATCCATTTGCCTTTTCCGATCCATCGACCAATCATCGCGTGAGAAAATATACACTTTCAACTGGATCGCTGCCTCGTGGAACAATAGTACTCGCGATAGTGTTCCCACTTTTTGAAATTCTGTGCCCTTTAATCGGTACGAAGTAGGGTTGAATTTGAATATTCTTAATTTACGACGATTCAATTTCGTCGCAACGTTTTTCTTGAATACACGCGTTTCACTTGGTATCACGTAAACGGATTTATCTGGGTAATTAGAGACTAATTGTCTGGTCTCTCGAGCGACCAAACCTGCATGGACGTTACTCGCTCGAATGAAATTCATCCGGCCATAATTATTTTAGAATTGCTTTACAACTCGTGGACACGGTTCCCGACTATTTCAGTACAACGTCTCGTAATATTCTCGTTTTAAATTTTTAATACGTTTTTTTGAACGAATAAAAAATTCCAAGCACACTGAAACGCAACACTTGAAATTAGTTAGTCGAACAATTAATCCTCTTGATTTTCGAAAATTTTGTATATCGATTCGTGAAAATTTGAAAAAATTTTCGAAAAGTGGCGAAAATCATCGATTCGATCGGATAGTTTTATTCAAAAAATAATAATAATAATTTATCATCCTGTTAAAAACTTTTCCAATCTAACTCGCTCGTCATTTGACCTATTTAAAATTTAACTCGATCAACTTTTTAACCAAATCTTAATTCTTAACACCAAAGTACATATCAATAAAATCGTGTCATCCTGCCTCCTTATTTTCGATTAATCCACCCCCTCCATCGATTTTATACATCAAATGTTAAATTAATTTTATCTGGAAATTATTAAATCAGAGATCGAACATTATACGAAACAGCGTAAACGTTTCTCCATCGCGCGTAAATTTTACACGTTGTTCCATAATCTAGATTCGCCTCGTTTCTTTTACTCGTTTCGATTACTTTCTTTACGATATTTTTCCACCCTTTCCGTTTCTTTTAGTAGCGATCATTTTTATATACCTTGTTGAAATGAAATGAAGAGAAAAAGTTGGAGGAATAACAAGACAATGGACGGGTAAAAAAAAAAAGTTTAACGCGGGGGATTCGCGAGAGAGAATCGAAGAAGGACGATGCTTGTTCGAGCCATGGCTCGCGACTTCGTCGACCGATAAGCGGTAAGAACATCCATCATGCTTCGTTCAAACTTCGTATCCGATCAGCTTAATCCCGTATTATCTCGATTGCAAATTACAATTTATCATAATTCACTTTTACTTAAAATTGGTCAATAATAAAAAGTAGTAGTGAAAATAAGAAAAACTTTCGAAAGATCGAGCTTCCTCCTATAAATGTTGGAACACTTTCGAGAAACACTTTCGAAGAAGAAGAAAGAAAGAACTTGTTGAAAATTGTTGTTAGGAAATTATTAAAATCGCGTTAAAAGTCGACATAACAATTTTCATCGATCTTCGTGGAGGAGAGGGGGAAAAAAAGGGAAGAAAGAAATATCAATTCCCGAGACGTAATTAGCCCTCGAATTGCCTTATCGATGGGGTGCATTATGACACCGCAATTACGCGAACAGTAAACTTTACGCCACAAATTACGACGAGGCAGGAATACACGAGACAACTTCGACTCTATAACCATTCCTTGCCAGATAATTGCTTAAAACGTTTACATCGATTTCTTCCGAGGGAAACCCGTAACTGCTCAATCTCGCCCGGATTAATCGCTTTCGATTCGGTTCGTCGAACTTGAAATGGCGATAATTATGGAAAACTTAAACGATTCCAAAGTAGTTTGTACAGGAGACTGTAGTAGAAGGCTGACTGGAAGAGAGAGAGAGAGAGAGAGAGAGAGAAGGAACAATACGATTATTACTTGGATACCATTAAAATTCTGATAGACGGCTTCTTCGACGGTTACCCTTCTCAATCGATGAATCGCTTAAGGATAATATTTTTAATAATAAAAGAAAAGTAATTTCTTGTTTTAAATTACTCTTTCGTGCAATTTAAGAAATATTTCAAATTAAAAAAAGAACGACTCGAAGATAGATATAGTAAAAAAAGATATGGTAAAATGATGGTAAGTTTTCATATTTTCATCTAATTGAAAACGTATACGCGGAATTGAAATTTGGGGAGTGTCGATCCATCCATCCAATTCGATTATTACACGACAGATTCGCGATAAAGATGTCTGGCAATTTCGTACAAGAATGGGGGAGACGCCTATATTGACACGAATGTTTCGCAGGAGAGTGCATGTTCCAAATTTTATTCGAGAATATTTGCGCGTGCACGCGTGATGGGCCGTGTAAAAAAATTTTGCTAAACGCGTTTCCACCGTGCCGGGTATAATTCGTTTTCTGGGTTGAAACTGGGTTGTTGAATACGCGGGGGAATAGATACGTGATCCCAACTTTTTAACAGAAATGGAGTCGGGGGAGTACGGGTTTTCACTGGTACACGTATAAACAATCTTCGTGCATAGAAACGCATAACAATTCAAATATTTCCCCCCTAATTCTCCTGTTAAATCAGGATACAATTTTCGCCCTATTATCTCTGGATACGGAAAATTTACAGCGTTATAATACAGCGATCGTATACAAGAAATTTTAATACAAGAAAAATTAACCCATTATTCTCACCTCGTTTCTGTAAAATGTGGAACAATTAAAATGAAAAGAAGAAACGCCGTTTCGTTTTACAACTTTTCACGTGTATCCTTAATCGAAAAATTTTCATCCCCTCCCCTTCTAATCTCTAAACCTCTCGAAAATATAAAATATCACCAACTCTGTACCCAGTTTTTTACAGAGCGCGAGTGTGTATACGATTTGTGATTGACCGTTGTTCACCGTTGTATCGAGGCGAGATGATAAACAAATGGAGGAATTTAATTCGTCGGTTTGGGAAAACCGCTGTTGAAAAAAGAATGGGGAAAGGGAGGAGGGGGATATCGAATCGTCGAAACTGTGCAACTGTGGCGAGGTTGGATTGGGTAAAAATTAATGCGAGACCGCGTTTTATTTCGTCTCGGCTGTACAAAGGGATGGCCGATATACGCTATTTCCCGACGCGGGAGCGTCGTATAATTTAATAATGCCGGCCTGATGTTCCTTACGTGACTGGATTTCTATTCTATTCTATATATAAGCTCTCTCGACAGGGACAGTAAACTTGCACGCGAGCCACCACAACGAACGCGATCTTTCTCTCGCCTTCTTTCGTTACTGTCACTGTTGTTTCGTTGTTACTTTAAATTTTTCCTTGGGAGATGAGACGACCATCTTTCTTCGGGGCGACGAGAAACGTGAGAGACACGTAATTTTCTTGTACATAATTTGTTACAAATGGTGTTACAAATTAGATTAGACGTATTTATTATTATCGGATCTTCTCTTGCTCTCCCTTTTTTCCTTTGTTACTTCAAATTCCTCTTTTGGACGCAGTGACGATTTCTCAGAACAATAAATTTTTGTTGAAATGATGGCCATGAGAAACGTGGCCATGATTTTTTTGGATCGAAATTATTACACCGTTACAAAATTAAATTAGTCTATTTTCTATTGTTATTGGATTTCTATTCTTATGCTCTGTTTAAGCTGTTTCGATGATAACTTCTACGACGAACGATCTTCTCTTGCTCTCTCTTTTTTCCGTTACTTCAAATTCTTCTTTTGGACGCAGTGAGGATTTCTCAGAACAATAAATTTTTGTTAAAATGATAAGAGAAACGTGATCTTCTCTTGCTCTTTTTTTCGTTACCTCAATTTTTTGGGGGGGGGGAGAGAGGAAATGCGGTGACGATTTTTCAGGACAATAAATCTTTGTTAAAATGATGAGAGAAACGTGACCGCGATTTTCTGGATCAAAATTATACCGTTAAAAATTAGATTAGCGTATTTGTTATTATTGATAATAATTTTTACGTCGAACCATCTTTTTTCGCATTCTGTTTCGCTTTCAATTCTTCTTTGGGATGCGGTGACGATCTTTCAAAACAATAAGTTTTTTTGTTAAAAATAATGATTTTCTGGATCGAAACTATATCGTTAAAAATTAGATTAGCGTATTTATTATTATTGGATTTCTATTCTTCTGCTTTGTTTAAGCTGTTTCGATAATAACTTCTGCAATCTTCTGTTGTTCTTTTTTTCGTTATTTCAATTTTGTTTTTTTGGGGGGGGAGGGGAGAGGGATGATTTTTGATGACGATTTTTCAGGACAATAAATTTTTGTTAAAATGACGAGAGAAAGGTGGATTTTTTGGATCGAAATTACACCGTTAGAAATTAAATTAGCGTATTTATTATCATTGATAGTAATTTCTACGAATTTTCTTTTGCATTTTGTTTCGCTTTCAATTCTTCTTTGGGCGGTGCGGTGACGATCTTTCAGAACAATAAGTTTTTGTTAAAAATGATGATTATTGGATTTCTATTCTTCTGCTCTGTTTAAATTCTCTCGACAGTAACTTCTACTTACACTCCGTTTCGTTACTTTAAAGTCTTCTTTGGGATGCGATGACGACAATAAGTTTCTGTTAGAAACAGCCATGATTTTCTGGATCGAAATTACATCGTTAGAATATCGGGTATCGTATACTCATTCCCGGGTCGAAATACTCTCGAGTTGGAGATGAGAGAAGCGTTTAAGACGCGTGGCTTGGCTCTGGTGGTTGGAAAAAGAGGGCGATCCCTTTCTCCTAATCGCGCCACGTGGATCGTCCGTCATGTTCAATCCTCGGTATTGCGTCGTGGAAAAAAGCTGGAGGATTCGAAAGGGAAACAAAACCGACCGTAATCCATAAAATCCCCAAGATCCTCGCCAGCGTTACGTTTTATTGGGACTGTTTACTTAAGAGATTGCCGCGGCATCCCGGTTGAGAAATGTTCGGAAATGTGTTGTCGCAACTGATTTGAAAAGAAATATCTTCCAATTTGTTACGGAACGAGAAATATAACCAGATCATTTATCGGGTTGAAAATGATTCGAACGAACTGATTTGAGAAACATCCGTCCCAACTATTCCTCCATCCAAAATTCCAATCTTCCAATAAACAATCTAACTTTTACCGACAATTTCGTAGAATTTTTTCTATTTTCGAGCTCTATCCGTTCGATCGTCCATTATTTTTTAACAAACGATTCGAAAATTCCATGTTTGTCGTATAGGCGAGAATTTACAATCGAATCTTCGTGATATTATAAGGTGTGATTCATAGGGAAGAAATGGAAGAAACTAAATGTTACATATTCTTCTTGTCGCGACAACGACAACGCCGATGATCGATCGTTGGAAAATAAGATATCATCGTTTAGATAACATCGAGTTGAAACGCGCAATAGGACAGTTTCCGACCGATTATGACATCGCGTGGATCGTCAATTTCCCAAACTGTATACGAAACCATTTCCTCTTTCGATGTTCGAACGGAAAAATACGATTTAAACTGTTGACGTATCGAATCGTGGACGAGAATTAAAGTAGCCTTATTTAAAGTGGCGAGCTTAAAGCGAAAACGATCGAAACGAAAGCGTCGAAAATATCGTATCTTTTGAAAAGAAAAAAAAAAAAATCACGATTCAGAGAATCGCCGTTCGAACAAATACCGAAACCGGTAAACAACGAGTAAGAAGACTCTTCTATCCGCTCTATTTATAATCTTTCGTCGCGACAAAAGAGAAAAACAGCGTAAAAGGGGGGAGGTCGAAATAAAATACACGACTCGACGAACAATCCAAGCCAAGCGTCATTAATTGATAATCGAGATTTGATGAAAATATTGACGAAACTGTTCTTCTCTACGAGCGAGGGAAAAAGAGAAAGAGACGAAGAGAAGAAGAAGAGAGGAGGAGGAGGAAGGTTATAGAAACGAGAAAAGTTTGAAACGAGCAGAGAACAAGTGTGTGTACAGGCGGAGCACAAAGGGACAAAGCTGCAACGCTGCTGACTGTCTCCTCCTCACTTTCCCTCGCTATATCGCCACCCCCGAACGAGAGGAGGGGTAGGAACAGAGATAGGAAAAGGATTCGAGGAAGTGGATATTTCGCGTGGAGAAAATTTGAATAAAACTAGGAAGGGAGGAGGAGGGGGAGAGCGAGTTTCCTTCTCCCTCTTTTCATCCCCTGTTCCGCTACCGACCTCCTCTTCCGCCGTT